GGAAGAAAGGTTTGACAGGCAGACGGATAGTCGGACGGATGGACATGAGTAACAACAATATACCCGAACTTTCTTTAGAAAGTGCGGGTATAATCATCCTAGTTTTTTTTTTTTATACTTACATCCACTAAATATTTTCTCCTTTATTTCTTAAAAAATATCACTGCACGAACTACAGTAGGCATGTCGCTTGTACAGATTTCTTGATCAGTGGCTGTTCCATCAATGAAACGTATAAAGACGTTCGCATACAATAATTAAACTTTTCAATCATACTTTAAATGATTATTTAAACAGATATAAATATAAACAATAAATGTCTTTCTTTGTTTGTTATTACTGGAATTAACGGTCGCAGCTATTGCAGAAAAAATTTACACAATCCGCTTACGCGGGTTTTGAATTTTTTCTGCGAAAGCTGCTTCCAGTAATTCTAGTAATAACAAAGAAAGAAAGCATTTTATTGTTTAAATGAGAAATATGAAACTTCATTCATAGAAAACCAAATACCGTATAAGTAGAATTTTTAGCGAGGATTTAATTTTGGCATTATTAGCGAGGGTTCCGAGATCGCTAAAATTAAATATCGCTAAAAATTAATTGCGTTTTATTTGTAATAGCTTCTTTAATGTGCATTTTAAAATCGCTAAAATAACATTTCGCTAAAAATAAATTACCAGTTTTTTAGGACAAATCGTTAAATTTGTGTCTCGCTAAAATTTCCACTTATACGGTACATGTGTATTTTTTTAAGATCCAATTTTCCAAGCTAGCGCTCTAGATTTAAAAGTAGGGATAAAAAACGTTGAACTTTAAAAAAAAAAAAACTTTATTGTGATTTTTGTAAATTTATCCAGGGAAAAATCAAAGATTTATAATTAATTCATTATGGAAACCTTTAAAAATATTTTCTGACACCAGCTAGAAAATGACCTTTTTAAAGATAAAAATGACAACTGTGTATTCCAAAACTTTCTTTATAAAATGTAATAAACGATTCTATTAATGTGCGTATCTCTTATAGCCTTGAAACATTTCAATAGATATTGTTTTCCTTTAATGGGGATTAAACGGTTTGTATTATTAATGTAAGGTATTGTATAGCTTTGATTTCGTTATTTAAGCTTAAAAGCTTTCAGAAATTAACACTTCAAAGCATAAGGCTGCTTGATATTACCCGTATACATTCGCCTAAAAAGAATATTCCTACCAAAACGATTGTTTTTTCATCAAAAATTGACAAGGAGACACTACGGGGTCATTTTTCTACAATGGACATGGAGAAAAACGACCCCAATGCCATAATTTATACAGAAAAAATTACATCTTGACTTGATGATGTTGCTACTCTATGTTGACAAATAATAGTAGTTAAAATGTTTGACATAGTCACACTTTCTATCGTTGTAGGAAAATACTAAAATACTAGTAGGTTACAATATGTTACATTTTTAACGTAGGATGTTCAAAGTAAAAATATTTAAAAAGGGGGAAAACACTTGTCAAACAAAACCAATTTGTGTCTAGAGTTTTAAAGACGGGTCCTTGTAAGAAAGTAGTGTATACTGATTTACGAGGGTTGTTCGAAAAGTTCGTGGACAACTGTCATATCTTTTTTATTTGACGTCATATGTTAACCAAATTTGGTAGAAATATTTTAACAATAAATCCAAATGATTTGTATTATTTTTTCTCAAAATATTACTTTTTATTTGAAACTTATCTAGATTTTAAAAATGCAAAAATCGGATAGCGGAGCAGGTCAAAATTTAGTAAATTACAAACAAAACACTTAATAATGTCTGAAGTCATATTCTCTGTAAAATTGAGAAAAAAAAAAATCAAAAACAGTCTAGAAATTCAAATTAAGAATTGTTACATCGATTCGTTAAAAAATCATGGCTTTATATTTTGCTTAATTGAAAAGCATTCGACTTGGGAAGATAAGTAGTCCTTATTAAAAACGACAGAAACGATGACGTTTTAGAACATCACGGAAACGCAGATAACGATGCAATTTTGTGTTTTTCTTCGGAAAAATCCTGAATAAACACTAATAAAGTTGGAGGAATCGAGAAATATGTCACACGTGAGCTGTTCATGTATGTAGTAATACTACAGGCAGTATTTAAGTGAAAGAGACTCAGTATCAGATGAGGAAAATCTGTGAAGAAACGGTTTAACTTTCAAAATCTGAACAAAAAACTTTGTAAAGTTGGAACGTCAAGAAAAGACATGGGCACTTCAGAGTTGCTTATCCTGTGAAAGCAGAGTTAAGTAATAAAAGCAATCAAAACCTTAACAAAGGAAATTATACACAAGAGCAAGTCTTAAAAATAAATTTCAAATATTAGGAAAAGGATTTAATGAATGGACATTGGATTATACTCTGTAAAAATGTATAGGGATAGCATTTTTTTTTTTTAGAAATTCTTGACGCTACGTTTTGACGTTACATTGCCTTTGAGTGTGCTCCGCGGGTACAAAACATGTTGATTTTAAACTGAAATAAATTGATTTCTGTTAAATCGAATAGAATGAAACTTCACTTATCAACAAAACAAATATTTTAACATACTAGACTATACTTATTTTAAATTTCTAATGAGTAATATGAATTAGACTGACATCGACCACGAACTTTTCGAACAACCCTCGTATATATCATGTTTGATTTAAGCACAATAAACTTATATTTTGTTAATATATTAAAGGAATGAAGCTTATTTCAACTTATGTTATACGATATAATATAACTTGGGTCAGTTTACGCTTTCTAAACCGCGAAGCGGTTGATCAAAAAGCGTAAACTTCCCCAAGTTATGTTATGTAGTATAACATAAGTTGAAATAAACTTCATTCCTTATAATTTAATTTAAGTGTAGACAATGAGACAAATTTTCCTCCGGACTATGACTTCAACTATAGCATATTTAAAAAGTAACGTCAAGCGAAGTAATGCGTTTTTGATGTGACTCATTGTGACATAGGCAAGTTATGTTAATATACAAAATATTATATGTTCTTCTGAAAGATTCAGCCAATGAAATTGTTTGATACAACTGAAATTAAATTATTGAGAGGTATTCCTGATCAAAATTTATATACATACTATATTGATTTTACAGGTATTACATGTAACAGCAACAAATTTCCTTTGTAAAATGAATAACAAAATTGACAATGGGATATCCCCTGATTGCAAACAATCATCAGTTTGGTAAAACTATGTAAACAAATAAAATTTACTTGTCAAAACAAAAGTAAACCGCTACGAAGTTGCAACAACACAACACTGAATAGAATTATAATGATAACGTGCCTTTGAAAGAACATGTTCTCAAGATATCTTGAAAAGCGTTGTCTTATTACGTAAGTTGTGTTTTCATATAAAGAATGCATTATTAATCCATAACTTTTTATTAATGATGTTATTTTTATGCTTACTTAAGACAAGTCACATATAAGTTTTTATATAAAATAGGAAAAAATGAGAATATTAAATTTTAGTTCAAACAAACCATATGTCGATATTCGAGGGCCTAAACTGTTCCCGTCCAAACTGCTGCCATGACGTGTTTCTTTCTACACCATACGCTAGGAACGTCACAAAAATAAGCACATCATCCTCCGTCACTTTTGATGATCAACAGTACCTGACAACAGTGCATTTTCATGGAAACAAATCAAAAGTAATATTGAACAATGTCAGGAATTTCTGTGACAGGGTGATTTATGTGTTTCCAGGTAAGTTAAAATTTTATTGCAATTGTAAAAACAGACATTTTCTCGTTAAAACACAATGTATATTTTTCTTTAGTTTTATTACCTTTTTACCTTGTTTATTTAAATGGTAAACCCAAAAGGATCAAAGATGACTCACTTTGTTTAAAGTTTGCAAAAGTGTTATTGATAAAAGATGAGAAGATAAATTTCTTTGATTATACTGAGTCCTTATGTACAATTAAAATTGATTTACCCCACACAAGTATATATGAATAAAACATATTGAGCTAACGAACTGTATTCAAGATAAAAAGTCCATAAAACAATACAAAATAGAAGCAGAGCAAACACAGACCTCAAAAACATCAGAGCTGGGATTAGGTGCCATGGAGGAATGAGCATCCCCGATCGGTCACATCCGCCGTGTGCTCCTTGTCATGATAGGAAAATAACGAAAAATCCATTGTCTTTCCAGTGTATAAATGACTCACACGTAGTATGAAAAACGTCGATCAGCAAAAAAGATAAGAAACAGCAATAAGTGTGAAAAATAATGGTTTAAAAATTTGTATGAAAAACGTCATGCAGTCAACATTCATCTTTGCGATAAATTATTTTTGTTAACAAGATCACTGTATCGGTCATGGAATTTTCGAAATGTTAACATAAAACAAGACTGTTGAGATCTTTTCTTATCAACTTTTTTGTCGATTACTTGTCTTTTTTTTTGACATTTCATTTCTAGCAAAGTAACCCACAATATCATTTGTGCGAGCAGTAATACTCGTTTACCGGAGAATACTAATTACCAGTGGAATACAATCTTTATTAAATACTTGAGGAATAAAACTACAAAGTCTTCTAAGTGATCGTTTATTGTCTTGAAGATACTGAAAAAGAAACATCTACATCAGCTGATAGTCAATCTAAAGATCCTCCTGAAATTTTATCAACATCAGCAGAGTATGAGACAACATTAAGAAAGAATGTTTTGGAGACTCCTCAGATACCACACGACAACCCCAGTATCATAGTACCTGTTGTATTGGTCTGTTTATCTTTGCTTGTCATTGAAGTTGGAATATTTCTATTACGGTGATATTGGTATTGACGTTAGCAAAGTACTTTTTTTTAATCAATTCTGCATTTTGCAACATGGGCTTTAAAATGAAAATGAAGATGAATGATAAAAAAAATTGCTTTATGTTTCAGAAAATTGATGAAAAAGGCAGTCAGACAGGTATGGTGTAGTACAACTCTCATATCACAAATACATGTATGAGGATAATATTTTAACACAGTCTAAGTGTGCTGTGATACCGGAATCTTATTTAATATACATATTCTATTTTCGTATCATTTCATTGCATTTTTATTTCGCCTTATAAGCATTCATGTACACATTAACGGAAAAACATTATTGGCATACAGAGTTATGCTTCCTCATTCATTGTGTTTCTGTTGATAATTGAAATTTAACATAGCAGCACTCATTATCAAAATTCTAAAAGACAAAAGACAACATATATTGAATTTAAAAATATTTTAGTTTCTAGATCACCACGAATATCCCACTGTGAATGAATCTCAGATTACCCAGACTTCTGATGACAGTCCAATCGGACCGACGACCGATAACTATTTTGTGTTAGAGAAAGAAATGGGATCGAACAGTGTACCACCACCAAACAAGGATACTCAGATAAACGTTCAACAAACGACACCAAGTAATGACTTTGCATTAGAACACGATGATGTTTTTAATGCTTATGAAACAGTTGAAGACGCTAATCGAATGTCAAATTGTAACATCCAGGTGGTTGATGAGGTATATAACACATTACATGCAACTGAGGATCTGCCCACTGATTCAACAGATAACTACAGTCATTTCAATGACTTCAATCAAGAATACAGTCATTTAATTAGATAAATAGGATACTGTGAGAGAGGCGACTGTCTTTATTGTAACCGCAATCATTTCTAAAACGTCTATCTTTTCTAGCGTTTATTTAAAACAGAAAAGGCAATTGATTTTGTTATCAAAGAGACATTCAGTGTTTTTTTTTTAAAGTTGCACAAAAACATGTTATTATATAAGTATTTTTTTTTACCAGGCATTGCAAAGCGGGTCTGTTCCTCACATCTTCTATAAAAGACATTATTCATTATTCATTTTATTGATATAACTATGTTTGCATTATTCCATTTTTAAAGAATTTTTCTTCATAATATCTCGTTGTTGGTTTTAAATAGCAATATTGTACATTCGTTAATTTGTAAATTCATTCAAGTTTGAAATAATATTATCCAGATTTTTTTCGCGTAATCTTTTATTCACGATTCGACAGTTTGAAATCAATTTCGGAGGTTTAAAACTTATACAAAGTAGAAAATTGTTCTCATTGCTAAATATTCGCGAGATTAACACGGTCTGCAAACTTGTGGATATTTTTCGTATGGGAATAAAGCTGGTTAAATAGCAAATATATCAAATTTAATAATCTGTCAAATTTTGTTTTCATAATAAAGACTGGGAACAATGTTTGTATTTGCTTATCTATTTTCCCCCAAATCAAATTCTTAAAAGTTTTCATTGACAACGGGAGAAACCAGTGTTCAGGAGTGCTTACTCCTCATTATCCACGGGGTTGTATTTTTACCCTCTTCACCATTTGTATTCCAAATTGTATTGTTTACATTTTACAAAATATCAAATGTTGATGTTATGCTGAATATTACATGACAAGATCTTCATTTTGTCATCACCTCTACTATAACGTGATATAGAAGTTTTCATAGCACATTGTAAAGATCTTACTGTTTTTATCATATTTTTCATGGAACACGAACTATTTGTTTAACTATTTCTGAACTATTTATGTTTACAAGAACTATTCTTATATCTCTTTACCAGGTTTTTTTTTGTCAATTTATTCTTAACTGATAATTGTATCTTATGAGGAAACTTTTAAGAAATGCTAATTTAAAGACTGTCTATTACTGTGAAAGTGTTTTGTTTATTGTTTCGGATTGCAAATTGAGACGTGGCTCAAATTAAAAATAGTTCTGTTGTTATAAAAAGAATTCATGGCGAATACCAATACGTTGTGTTATACATGTATATAATTCAACAGCGATGAATAACAGCGGCCCAAAACCGACACCATTCGACAGTGGTAAGTGGTATGCATGTATGAAAGGAAAGTATGAATCCTTAATTTGCGAAAGCAACACAAAATTGCATCATTTTTTAAAAGTTATTTGTCATCTCAAACACTATGCAACATTAAGAAAATAAACGATGGACTCAATTTGCTTTTCTCCACTCTTAAGATGATGACCAAGAGTCAAGTGAACTGGAAATGTCATCATACTTCCTAAACACTTATGAATGTGTATAGAAGAAGGGGAGAAAGTCGGTCGTCCAGATCGAATTATTATTTTGCCCCGAGTATCCGAGCTAATGGGAACTGTCAAATAAACAAGGTATGTTACATGTATCAATTACTCTCAATTTACATACTCGTACAAATGAAAGAACGTATCCGAAAATAGGCAACTGATCAAAAGTTCTAATAAGTATTTGTTTAAATGGACTTAAATAAACTGATTAACTGATGTTTTGTAAATATGAATATGAAACAATATGAAACAATATTTACATTTGCAAATGTTTTCCTTTATATAACACTACTGAAAGCAAGCGTCTTTATTTAAGAAATAAGGTATCATTTTTTGGGTTTTATTGGGATGTAAAACGGGTTGGCACATGATCAAATCTTCCATAATTCGGGCTTTATGGGTTTTGATCATGTGACCAACTCGTTTTACATCCCAATAAAACTCAAAAAAATGATACCTTATTTCTTAATTAGCGTTATTTCATTACAACTGCTACTGTTTATTACTTGTCCTCCATTAACACATCAGAGATACTTAATGTTGTTTTAAAAACTAATAACATAATTTCTCAGTCAGTTATAAAAAGAATAAATATTCTGATGGCTTGATCAGCAATAATGGACAGAGTTACAAAATTTATATTTAACCAAAACAATACAATTTTAATTAAATATCGTTTATTTAACAATTAAAAAGGACAAATTAGAATCAACTTTCCTAAAACCGTTTGAAAACGTGAGCCGAGCAGCTGACTCAATTGTCATAGGTTTTTGACCAGTAAACGAAATGTCATCGTTTAATCTGATGGTAAGCACTTAATGTTGTTAGTTTAGTATCTTTCGACATTTCACTTCAACTACATTTCTGGTGTGAGTATACTTAGCTGAAATAAGTACTGGGAGGCTCAATTCGTATCTGTATCTCTAGCACTTTGAATCAATAGCCGAGAAAAAGATTTCACTAATTTGAGTACCCATGTATTACGTTTTACCATAGCTCCATTTCTCTTCAAAATTTTCAGAAGAACCATGTCGAGATACCTATCCGTAGAATGTCTCATTCCAAACTGCTGTCGTCAGATTTACCTTTCCGTACCAAATATCGCCGGGGTAGCAAATGTCGATTTTTCTTCGTGCAATGTTGCTGACAAAGACGGGGGTATCAGCGAAACGACAGTGTATTTCCAAGGAAACAAGTCGTCAGCGACATTTGTGACCAGTCGTTGCTGCGGCGGGGTGATGAATGTGTATTTAGGTAAAGTATTCTTCCAATATTTTTGTTTGATGTTATTGTAGATATGTGTTTATGTTTTCCATAAAAATGATGCTCAAAACATGTGTTTATGTTTTGAGCATCATTTTTATGGAAGTCCACCTTACAGACTTGAATGGTGTTATTTAAAAAATAAGATATCATTTTTAGGGTTTCATTTGGGGGTATGACATGAAGTCGGTCACATGATCAAATTCTATAACGCCCGAAGGGCGTTATAGTAGATTTGATCACGTACCAACTTCATGTCATACCCCTATGAAACTCTAAAAAATGGTATTTTATTTCTTATGTTTATATTATACTTTTTTATTCAAGTTTCAAAAAAACATAGGCATTATATACACTTTGATTTTGAAATGCAACTTAAAGTATCTACGACAACATCTGATATCACAGTCGGAACTTTCCAAATTGCTAGTGCAGTTTGCTTTCCATATGCAAGAATGTCTTATCATGTGACAAACTGTCATTGAAAATTGAATTTCAATTTTATTAGCACTCTTATATAAGGAAAGACATCAGCAAATGTAAATATTGTGAAATATGTGTTCATTTTTTAGGATCATTCATATTAAAGTCCGCATTACAAACTTAAATATAGTTCCCATGTTCTACTCTGACCGTTTTTCGTCTCTTTCAAGTGTTTCATTTATTTGTACTTTATTCCCTATTTATAAGTATAAATGGACAAGAACGACTTCATACTTTAAATGATTCACTTTTCTTTAAAGATATTAAGAAAAATTCCTTGTCAGCTGACCATGTATCGAAAGCGTCTGATTCACTTAATGCATTCTTGACGAAGACAGCAGCATATGAGGTAACATCCAAAGGAAATATTCCAGAGGTCGGAGACGTGCTGTATGGCCATTGGAGTTTTACTATTACTGTCATAATGATCTGTATGGCACTGCTTAGTGTCATCTGTGTCGGTTCTCTCCTATACAGGCGTCATAGGTGTGTTACATGTAAACACCTTTTTGCATCATCAGTTGAAAAGTGTTAAGAACCATTTATATAAGCATCATCAGAATAACTTTTGTTATATGATGTTAAGTACTATTTTTTAAGATAAATGAATTCAGAATTATTTTGTAATTACATTTTGTATACTAACTTAATGTAGCGGTCAGTATATAGAGAACTTATACTACCTCGATAATCAGCCAGCTTTTCTAGTGACGCGATATCCCGCTATTTTATGCAAATTAAGCAATAGCGAGTCTGAATAATCCTTGAACAGTGTAGTTTGCATCGATATCATCATTTTCAAAATGTTCAATACCGTCTAGGTACGTTTAAGGGTCCTCCACACCATGTGACTTGTGACCTATATAGAGAAAAAATACTTCCAAGTCTGTGTTGAATGTTGATATTTTTGCACACTAATTTGTGCGTTTCAATAATACATTACTTCATTGTGTGTTTATAAATATTGATAAAATAGTGTGTTTTTCTAGTTTTCCTCTTTTATATCTGTCCAGTATAGTTGCCAATAATGAGTAAATATAGTATAGTGACGTATGCAGAGACTTGCCAAAGTTTTTGAGTCCCGGGCAACAGGAAAGATAACTCCAAAAAGGAACTTTCATACCAGAGATTTCGAAAATATTTTTCTACATCAGTGCATTGAATTTAAATTCAATTTGTTGATTTTATGTAATTCGTTGATTTTTCTTCTATACAGAAAGTGTCTTCATTGATTTTTCTTTAGATTTATCTTAGAGAAAATGAGTTTTATGTATTTTTTATGAATTAAATAAATTTCTCTAAAAAATATGTTGATTGATAAAATCAAGTTTTATGCTTATTCTTTGAGCTTTAAAATATACGAAGGGTAAAACAAAATTTGTTGTGCTAGGTATTAAAACGCTTTGGGGAAAATATCTTAAATTTGTGAAATTATTATTTTAAAAATTCAGTATAAATAATGTTTTAATTCCTAGTCAGTTTTTAAAGGTTGATATGCTTGTTATAAGTAATGCTCAATAATATGAGAACACAAGTTTGGTGTGTGTGGAGGACCCTTAATATGTACTTACGAAAATTAGGAAATCCTGATATGATAGTCTCAATTTTATTGTATTTTCAGAAAAACAAAATGTACAGTTAAAGAAGAGGTATGATTGTTAATGTTTGACACTTGACATGTATTTGATAGATTTAATGTTTTTTCTGATGATCACTAGACAACATTTTATTTTAATCTAGAGGCTTTCTTTTTAGCCTAGCATATTCAAGTACACGTACAAATTATGCAAAAACAAATTTTAGAAATTTAAGATAGTTTAATAATTTAGTTTCCAGATAGTACTCACCACCCAGCTAAAGAAGACTCAGAAATGTCCGAAACACCAAGGATTGAATTAACAAATACTGTGAAGGATAACTATTTTGTGTTAGAAATAGGAGATACATTCGACAGTGATTTATCAGCAAACATAAATTCTGCACTGAATGGTGATAACGAAATGCCAGGAAATATTCTTACATCGGAATATATGGATATCGTTTATGAAACAACTGAAGTAAATTGTCAAAAAGTTCCCGATAATGACCTTAAATGTGACTGTGTCTACAATACTCTACATCAAACCATGGTCTCTACAAGTGATGCAACAAGTATTAGTAATTACAGTCATCTTAGCGATTTTAATAAAGTTTATAGTCACTTAAACGTTGATAGATGACTTTGGTGGTGTGTATAATAGGATAATTTTACTTACAAAAGTGTTTGAAACTTGAATAAATAGCGTAGAACATTTACTAGACTAGACACTTACTAGACTATGGCATGTCATTATGGCATGATTTGCATAATCATGATAATAGAGGGTTATAGGTGAATATTGGCTCAAGTTGGCTAAACAAATGCACGAGCGCAATTGTACAGTCAACGAGTGCTTATAATTATCACCAATATATGTTCAATATAACTCCTTTATTATATAGCTAAAATCTTTCCTCATAATTTATGATAATTATTCTAACTAAAAAAAACTCAAATTACTATTTTTTAGTATCGGTATTCAAATTAACGCCTGTCCTGTAAGTGTTCAATATCGCATCATTCCGATGACCCTACAGGGCGTTATGATTTGCTTATTTAGGTTTTAATGGGTCTAATACGTGCTTAATTTTCAATAAATGAATTCATTTTTGTGTAAATATAAACACATCTCACTTAGATGCCACTTCCTTCCTTTAATTTAACTCTGAGAATTTGACCAGAAGACATTTTTTTGTTTACAATGGGGCGTTCGATATTGAACGCTCGTATTCGGAATGTTTCGGGCATACTCATATACGTTATACAAACTCAATAAAACGCCAAGATATTGAACGCTAAAATTCTCTAGATTTTCCTAGTATTTTATTATTGACCATTTATTAGCTATATAATAATAATAATAATCGATTAGTTTTCAATGACGTACGTCGTATTAAGATAACAAACGGTAACCAAGTTCATATGTCCATTTGTAAATAGCAATACAAATAGTAAGGTTACAAACATGAACTATCAACACATCAGAGGTGATCAGGTACCATCGAAGAGAAGACAATCGAAGATACAGCCGCCTTGTGCTCAAAGTTATGGTTCGATCAACGGAAAAATCCGTAGACAAAATAAAGTGAAGTAAGGGGTTTAGTAAACATTTATAGATAACAGGTACCCGCTGTATGTCATTTATGTCAGGATTTTTTCATGTACCTAAGGAATCCTGTATGAGATATTGGTTTTCCTTATTTTGGTCATGTTAAAAAACGAGACTTAAGGTCCTCATTAAATCTGTATTTATGTCACCATTAATGACATGTCCAGCGGGACTACCGTTGCAGGGCAAAGAAGATCATGAACATGTAGGAGAATTATGCTTCACATGCTTGGTAATTCAAAATGTTTTGAAGCAGTAGTCGATGTATATTTTGCAATTACAATATGCAAGGATATATATTTATGCCTAGGTTATATTTAAGCCTATGGTTGGGCGACTAAAATTTTCTGGACTTGTCGGCTGAAAGAACAGGATCGGTCGACACAGTATCGGGCGACACTGGGCAGTCACATTAATTCCTAGGGACACCGATGACTTGGATAAATAACACAAAAAATCTTTTTTCTTTAGAAATCAGCAATATTTTTTCATATATCTATATTCAGATAGGTGATGTGAGTAATGTTTGCAAGGCAAAGTGGCAGAATCTTATAACATTGTGACTCAATGTTGAAAATGTGTGCAAAATTTGTATGGAATTGCATAAAACCGACAAATGATGCATATCTAAGCAGCAAAGAATACTTAAGACTTCTTTATATCTTACGGATTAATTATTTATGTTATTTCCGTTCAAAACATTTATATCAATCCATGCATCAAAAATTTTGGTTTGTGTTATGTATCCCTAATAGGTTAAATATTCACAAGTCGGCCAATCGTCGCCCGATCATCGAGCTCTGAGCTACAGTTTGATTTTAATCGTCGGCCGAAATTTTCAACACCCTTCTTGCCCAACGACGGACGACCGACTTAATAAACTGACCACCGATGGTCGGACGATGATCGAAGGTTGGTCGACGGATAACTGCAGTTGAAGAAATTGGCCACCGACGCATGAAAAATTATAACTTGGACCGATGGACACAAAATTGGTTGGCCGACAAAAAAAATAGTCAAAATCGGCCAAGACAACGGCCGGTGAACTGACGACTGTCACCCGAAGAATCCCACTTTTGCTTCAAAACCCGTCTGCCGTTGGTCGTTTTTGGAAATGTGACTGGGGTTTTACAGATTAAAAAAAAGGCTGCATATAGAAATAATTTGTATTTTAATATTTTTATTAATATCTTTATTTATCATTATTATAACATTGAAGTCAATATGACAGTCATAATAATCTAATACATATATTCAAGAGCAATGTCTTTTAAGGTTGAGCATTTTCTTCACATATTGTAATCGTATTGTCTCTTTACAAATTTGGAATTCTTTTCGTTTGAAATTCTTTTTACAATATTGATTTAATAGGGGTTTTTTCAAAAGTTGTTTTTTATCATCTTCAAAAATCTATTAATAACATAAAAAGAAAGAAAATAAAGCAGTACAACTATAGGATTTTTTCCGGAAATATTCATGTAAATACAAAATCAGACAAATTAAAAAAATCCCGAAAAGGTCATTGAAGTAGATCATACTTTTTCCAATAAATTAAAACCGAAAGTCTTTGAATATTCTTTAAAAATATCATGAGATACTTTTGCAAATGAATCAAAATACATTAAAGAAGAAAATTATTGCTTCAATGAAATGAGTTCAACAGAGTAAGTGTGAAATTTGGCGATAATGAACAGTAATCAAGCTTGAAATCATTGGCAACCTTACAAATCAAGTAGGGTACGGATTGACCTTCAATAGAGGAATGATCAGGTGCCATAGGTGAGGGAGCATTCACTGTCAACCGGTCACACCAGCCGTGTGCACCTTGTCATGATCATAGAAAAGTTGAAGTAATCACATTTGTTATAAAAGTTTGAATACTGTCTGAGTTTTTTCCCAAACTTATTGTTAACTTTGTTTTATTTTACAGTCCGATCATGGAAAGGGTCAAGCAACAGAGGGGACTTGTTTAACATGACATGCTTACTCCTTATGGCTCCTGATCGTTCCTCTGATTTTTTAGAGGTCCGTGTTTCCTCTGCTCCTATTTGTATAGTTTTAATCGTCTTTTGAGTTTGATTTCTATTCGTTATCTCCATTTCATACACTATACATGTATACATTGTCTAGTTGGTAGAATATGACAGGGATCAGTGATAGTTTGACACGTGGGATAATTTGCATAACGCGCGAAGCCCAATATTAAAATATTTGCACTAAAAATTAAAATTAATATTTGTAACATAGTTTGGTTATGAATCAGTTGTTTAAAAAAACGGTTAAGACAATTCATTGAATTACTTGGATTGATTTTCTTGAAAAGTTATCTCTCTATCAGAGGGATTTTATACCTTAAAATAAAATCTTGAACATCATCTTTATGTTGACAAGTGATCAAAGAGTTTTATTTTTGATAGAGGAAATATAGAGAATATAGTCACAGAAGTGATGATTCAATATCAAGGAAAATTCTCGAGGGCATATAAAATAAACTGTATATATGCTAATGACTTTGTTGCGAATTTAATTGTCTTACCTATGTAACAGTTTTATTATTGCTTAACTAGTAAATTTAGTCATTATCTTAAAAGACTCTTCATTTTGTCAAGGAAGTATATTTTGTTTACCACAATTTAAGTACGATTGTCGTATTAACTTTCCTGTACAGGAAAAAATGTATATTTTAGGATTTGTGATGGGGTAGGACATAGAAGAAAAAGAATCTGGTGACACCTGATAAATGTGCCACGGCTAAGATTAATCAAGTAAGTTTCATCCCTAATTTATTTCTTTTTTCAAATCATTTTTAAGTTGCCTATTTTGTAAAGTTAATGGCAATCGAGTTGAGTTAATTTTGGTATACTAACAGTACCCTCTTTTCCCCTTTAATCTAGATTCGTTTAACGAACAAATCGATCTGCATATTAAGGAATATCTTATTGGCATACAGAAGACTGATTATACTTTCTGTGATATGATTTATACAATTCCAATCTTTTAGAAAACAAGTTAACATCGTCTATAACGAGCAGTGTATATATTTACAATGGTTCTGGTTTGTCAGCCATTTCTAAAATAATTCCTTTGCTTATTTTGACTGAGATTCAAAAATAAGGAAATAAAAATAAAAATTCACCATATCTTAATAGAGTCTTAATGTCTTGATAAAGTTGAGTGAAGAAACAGTTTTAGGAAGAAATCAGCACGTTTATTGTATATAGTCTTTCAAAAGTCCGTATAAAATGAACAATTGAATGAATTGTTATAAAAAACCTTTTGACGCACTTTCATGTGAGGAATTTTATGAACTCTTGGGTAAACTTGAAAATGGTAAATATAAAGTAAAGAGTCAAAAAATGAGGGAATTATTTCATGTGAAATTCATCGCATTTTCATGAATATGGATATACACTCAGTCATGTATTTGTTTAAAGAAATGTATGATATAACGGTCATTGGACGACAAAATGTGGGATAGTGCTGTATTTCATAGAAACATTCAAACCTTTTTCCAATATACATTAAAGAAATGTGAAAAGAGAAACAAGCGACATTGTTTGTTTCTATTGAATATTGTTTAAAACTTCTTAACTTCAAGCTTTAAAACGGAAGGAATGTGGTATGCTGTCTACATCGCGTTGTTTACTGTATCATCAATGTAGATAGGAAAAGCCCTCTCAATACAGACTGTTATGGAAATATAGCATGTAAGAAAAGTATTTAAGAAGGGAGGAAGTCCGACCTCATATAAAACTTACATGGAAATTTCGTACAAAATGAGGCTTTACAACACTATTGAAAATTTTAAAAATTATATTTGCTACGCATTCATTTTATGCTGAGAATGTCACTATTTTTGCAATAGAGGACAATAATAATTAGCATTTGTCAGCAGGTAAGTGCTAACCGTCGACTGGACGTACGTAAGTTCAAAGTTACAGAAATCTCCTTTTTTCAAATCAACGATACTAAGTTTCTTACCCTACAGTCTTATTTAACAGTGAGAAAATTTCAAAAATTTCAGCAATGTATTTTGATAGATGTCTGACACTGAATTCATTTTAATGTATAGTAAATATGTTATCATGATGTTTTCAATATGTTTAGATAATCGATGGAGAGAAGGGAGAAGATAACCTGTAAATATCCCAATTTTTGTGTAACTTGCAGTTTATTTAATGTCAATAATAAATTCTTTGCAACTGTGATTGATATTGAAGACGAATGCACAGAGGAATATGAAAACCCACAATACGAACCTTTTACATATATTAGTGTCAACGGACAGTTTGAAGAGCAGTTTAATCAAACACGCTGTTGTCAAGGTTCTCGGACGCTGCTTTATAAAATTGGTAAAGATTTTATATCTATATCTAAGCTAGCACGAATGATATTTATAATTATTAAGGTTAAACAATATCATGATTAATTTGAACTATCTTTTAAAAAAAAATCTCTGGTCTCTGCCATAATAATAAAGCATAAATATTCAATCAAATCATAACAAGTTTGCCTGGGTGTATAATATATTATTTGATCATTATTAAAAAGAAGAAGAAGAAAACACTGATGCCCTGACGTCATTTCCAGATACCACCACTGATCCTAATACGTCATCAGAAGAGACCACTAAACCTCCCCCTCTACTCGTTACGACTGCAACTGTAAACATTGATACTGTTTCCGTCGTTAAAGAAAACACCTCTTCATATGATACCACAATTTTACCTACTTCAACACCATTTCAGTCTGTTGACATGACTCTCTTACTTACAGCCGGAATTGTTGGAGTTGTAGTTCTCTTTGTAATAATACTTTTGTGTGTCATAGTCGTAAAATTTAAAAGGTGAGTTTCAAAGATTAAACCTAGTGACTTCATTCATTTAGAGTATAATTGAACTAAAATGAGACCCATTCACTCAAACACACGAAAGGTTTTCTCCCCATCTTTTTTAGCCATAAAAACTACATTTAAGCGAAAAAAAAAGTTTATCAATATTCTATCTTTCTCATTATTTAGTCCTGGAAAAATCTTTTTCAGACGGTTTATTTTTTTCTAGGAAATCGAAAAGCATCCATGGAATGCAAAATCTTCAACGCCCTGTTGAAAATGAAATATACAGCGTAAGGGAAACACTTTCCTGAATTTTATCTGTCATGAAAATCAATGCAATTGATAATATAAATATTTACAATTTGATTTGTTGCAAAATGGTGTCTTCACTTTTTAATACGATTTCTTGGTCGATCAAACCAATTGTAGGATGGAGTTGCGGAGTATTCAACAGTGGAAGAGACAGCAACTATTGTAAAATCCTTGATCCACACCAAAACAAGATCTAGAGGGTCGGAAAATGAACAACAAAATTATTTCATTCTTGAAAAACTTGAGGCATCATCAAATGCTTGTAAAACGACGTACAAGGCAAATCACAATTCTCCTACTGAAGAGGACATCTATAACAAGCTTCATGAGAAAGAAAGACAGTCTACGGAAGTAGAGGAGAATGTTTATAGTCACTTCAGCGACTGTAATGAGAATGTTTACAGCGGCACCATTCACCGCTGAATGTTGGAAGAATGCATGCACTTGTAAAGGGATATAGAATTCTTTTATTCGTTGAAGTATTAAAGTGCTAAGAAAAATATTTGAAGTTATTTTTTTTTTTCAAATTTACAATAAAATTTCATGGCTTTTATCTCGCTAAGGCATTTCACACGAAAATATGATAAACAATTACTTTGTATAGAAATTATTGAAACCACAAAATTCGGTTTAATTGACACATTCTTGAATTTTCAAAAAGTCAACTTCGTAATACCCAAATAAATTAGAAATTTTGTTGTTTATTAATGAAAATAGTAAAACTATAATCCAGTATAGAATTGTGAGATGCAAATCCTAATCACCAGTTTTATCAGTCAGTGCTCATGTTGTGATCAAATAAAGATTTTTTAAAAACATTTCTTTTAATAATTTAATGAATTATTGAGTTTGTCATATCTAGTCTTATCTTGATTTATAATAAAATCCACTTGCTATGCAAAACATAGACCATTTATGAATATATTTTATATACTTAGTACATGTACAATAACTTAAATTCCCAAAATGTGAAACCTTTACGCCCAATTGTCAAGGTTTTAATGGTGCATGGTATTTGTATACATTTCCACTTGATCCTTGGCGAAGATACCTTAATTTATTCATAACGATTAGCAATATATTTGCATATATTTCATCTTGTTGTCTGTAAATATATGCCGCTATCAAAGCTTTTGTTGTCATACTATTGTTTGAAGCCAATATTGATGGTGATATATGTATGTTGTTCACAATTGCGAAATATGATGTTGAATGTTGTTACGTTGATGTTTATATGAGAATATTTACATTTGCAAATGTTTTCCCTTATATAACACTATTTGAACAAGGCGTTTTTACATCTCCGTAAAACAAGTTGGTCGTGTGACCATTATGATTGTTTAGTCATAATAGATCTACGTAGTTTGATAGTGACGTCATAAGCGATACACGTTATAAACACATTCAGTTGAGTTTCGAAAAAATAACGTTATGGGTTTCAAACTGTAGTTAAGTACGTTACAATTTCTAATAAATAGTCACAAATGTAAATATAAGAAATAAGGTATCATTTTCCGAGTTTTATTGGGATGTAAAACGGGTTGGCACATGATCAAATCTTCCATAAAGCCCTTCGGGCTTTATGAGATTTGATCACGTGACCAACCGTTTTACATCCCAATAAAACTAAAAAATGATACCTTATTTCATAAAACCTTGCATATCCACTGCTCTCTCTCCCACTACGAACATGTTGTCATCAACTGCGTTCATAGGACTATAGAAGCAACTGCTTCTACTATGAGTGCCATTGCTCTATCACACTTGTGTAGAACAATCTCTACTACAGTTACAGAACGTGTTGAGAAGTATATATATGAAATGTTTTACAAGAGGAATAAAAATAAGTTTTTAATAATATTCTTTAAAAAAAGGAAATTCGGAATATTTAGAATTGCTGATTTATATATTTAAAAATTCAATTTTGGTGAATGCATTTAATTGTAAAATAAAACTTTTTAAAAATTGTAGAGAACTACCATATTTTTATTTTTTGTATCATGCATATTTGAACAAAGAACGATAACTCTTCACACTTGGGTAATACCATTCAGAAATAATTTAATTTTGCTTGTATTCTTGCCTCTCATTGGTTGATTTCCAAAAAGGAACGCATAACATTTTGTATAATCTGGTTTGGTATGGGGACACCCCCCCCCCCCTTGACAACCAGCATAATCAACTGTATCCATCAATTCCCTCATTTCCAGTCCTTGGGATTCATGGAAAATTCCAGACTTAATGAATGTACCTTTAATTTCAAACAGTTACTCAATCTTACCTCATGTAAACAAGCGTCATGGCTGCTAGATCTATGTATCAGTTATTACCTCCCCTCTCTTCCCATCACTTCCGTTGCTACGGTTGTATTATTGCGCGGTAAATTTGAACTCATAAAAACAACACAATTTTACATCCCAAGTTGAATAATTATTTTAAAATTAAATTATAAGGAATGACTCTAATTCTTGGCCAAATTTTCGAGTATAATATGGTTTGGGTCACCCAGATAGCAAGCTGACATTGGGCCGATGTTGGCATATGGTTGGTAGATCGGCTACATATCGCGGTTGGCAGATCGATATTGGGCCAACATCGGTCCGACATTGTCATTACAACAGTCGGTGTATTGACATTGTTCCAACATCGGTCCGACATTGTAATTACAACAGTTGGTGCTTTGACATTGTACCAACATTGGTCCGACATTGTAATTACAACAGTTGGTGCACTGACATTGTTCTAACGTCGGGCCAACATCAGGCACGTAGCATCGTTCTTAAAAGTGGGGGGGGGGGGGCATAAAATTTTTTTTTTACTTACTTGAAAAAGTTGACAAGCAAAAGGATTGGGGTGGTGGTGGCCAATTTCCTTTCACTTCCAATTTTTTGCTATTTTTCCTTGATTTCACTATAAGCCATCCCCCCCCGTTGCTACGTGCCAGAACATTGTTATTTTTAATGTTGAAATATGGACATCTTTGTAGTGTTGGCCCGACATTCAACTTTTGTTGGAACGTTTAAAAAAATATTGAAACGTTTAAAAAATATTTATTTCTTTTATTTTTTTATTTCCTTTATTTATTTATTCATTTTTAATTATTTAACCCTTATGTAGATTTTCAAAACTATGGAATACAACTTAGATTTTTCTCGAAAACTGTCGACTAATAGTACAATTACGTCGGGATCGAAGTCGGGCTCGATAAGCTATTAATTTAAACAACACACCGCGCCGAAATTTAAATTTTTTGTGGGTTACACGCAGCCATGTTGATGTTGCACAGAAGGAAAGTTCGGAAGAGAGTGTCGCGAAAAGGAGAATCATGACTAGCTTTGGATGGAATTTCTGTTTTGAAAGAAGATGAAGACATTTTACGACACGGTACTGCGGTAGGTACAATGTACAAAATAATTTAACATGTGTCCTTGAATGAATAATTGCTTCTGCTACTGTTCCTTAGTCAGGACACTACACATAAAACACCTGGTAGTGAAATCGTTTGAGCAAGCGCTATTTCAATTTTGTTATAATAATTTAACACTTCTAAACATCTCTTATAAAGATGGATTTCAACCCGAATTAACTCGTTTGGGATCGATTCAGGAATTTTAGTGTTCCTCTCTGCAACATTTACAGAGTATGTAGTACAATGTAATAATATACATTTATTTTTGAACAAATGTTCAAGATCATTTTCAGCACTTATTTTGATTATTTAATAGTTGCATGCAGTGGACTGTGTCCGAGACGATTCCTACAGCGCCGGCGAATAGTCAGCTTGTAAAATTGGTGAGAACCAGCTCATTTTTTTTTAAGTAACACAAATAACCTAACATTGTTTTTATTAACTTTTAGCATAAAACTATAAAAAATATTGCATCTACTATATACCAAGTAAACAAGAGGTTTATATGTTCTTAATTTCCTTATCCTAAAAATACATAACAATGGATTCTGACGGGTAAACTAAACTGACAGTGGCGGATTTAAGGGGAGGGCGCACCAGGCGCACGCCCCCCCCCCCTAAAATTGTCAAAGTTAGCATAAATCACAGTTTCGTCTAGAAAATTAATATGTCTAATTGGTAGACCTCATTTTACCCTACAAAATCTCTAGAATCCAGGAGCTTCCGGGGGTTTCGCCCCCTGGGCCCCACAAGGCGGCCCCCAGACCCCTTGCCTAATTTTGCCTAAATAAAAACACTGCAAGATAGTGAATTTCTATTTTACACTATACTGAACTATCAGGTTGAAATAACCAATTGTTTTTACAGTCTTGTAGAGCCTTACTTTATTATTTGTCATATATTTATGTTTATATATATGCGATAGATATTGATGATAATACAATGTACATCCTAATGGTCATCTTTTCTTTCAGAAATTGTGCCAGCAAAGTTTGAAGTATCTATGGAAATGATCAACATTGAACTTTCCGAACCTTCCTACTTAAAGTGAATCCGTTCGTGACATGACCAGTTATTTGGCTACCCTCTAACATAACGCCATCTTTTATTTATTTATTATTGTGAATTTCATGGGATATCAGTGAGGAAGTGATTCAAGCAGACACTTGAGAAATTTCGGATCTAACTTAATTAGGATCTTTGGCATATTCGAGGAAAATAGCATGTGTTGATTTTATGGGATCTTTTTATTAATATAGTTGTGTAATGGATATTTTGTACTTAATACATGTGTTTGTCACTCTAGTCTAGTCATTAACTTTGTACGATAAATGTACATGGGCAACTGGAAGTTCATTGTAACTGCAATGACCTCTCCCAATGTCATTAAGTCAAATGCCATATTTTAAAAAAAGAAATAGTTTGTTTTATTACAAAGAAATGTCGATCAGTGAGAATACTTTGAAAAAATGTGCTTACATTGTACATCTATAAATGTATGTGTAATTTTTGTTTCAAAACACATTGTAAAAGAAACGATTTTTTAATTTTGAAAATATAGATTTGATCTTTGATAAATTGTGATGTTATCATTATTTCAGTTTTCATTGTATCTTCCTGGGATTTCTTATATTTCCATGGAATTCCATAGATTTCTAAATATCCGTGTGCACAAATATGTTGGGACAACATTGGGCCAACATAAGAATTATCATTGTTTGACATTGGGTCAATGTACTGCCTACATGTAGGTGCACAAATACGTTGGGCTTACATTGGGCCAACATCAGAATTGTAATTGTATGACATTGGGCCAACGTAGTGCCAACATGACGGTGCAACGTTGCGCCGATGAGCAAAATTACATTGGCCCAATATCATTTTCCGACATTGGACCAACGTAACTTACAACAGTGGCCCAACATTGGGCCAACATAACTGACAACAGTGGCCCAACGTTGGACCAACGTCAGAATTATCGTTCTATGACATTGGGCCAACGTTGCGCCAACATGTCGGCGCAACGTTGCGCCGATGAGCAAAATTACATTGGCCCAATATCATTTTCCGACATTGGACCAACGTAACTTACAACGGTGGCCCAACATTGGGCCAACGTAAGCTTGCTATCTGGGCAGTTTACGCTTTTTTATAATCCGCTTCGCGGATTATAAAGCGTAAACTGACCCAAACCATATTATACTCGATAATTTGGCCAAGAATTAGAGTCATTCCTTAAAGAGAAAATTTCTTTAATTAGTGTGTCTATTTCAAGAATGATTTCAGCTCTTAAAAATAAATAAATAGATAAACTAAAAAAAAAAATTATAGAAAAGCATTCTGGAGTAATAATCATTATTAAAGCATTCTCATTTTTCATCATAGTGTTAAATTATTGATGATTGTCAGAGGGTTTTAATAACGTTGATCGATGACGTCACAACTGCATCAAAACAAAAATGTGATAACGGCGCTGCTTGTATCCAGATAACTGTGTTTGAGAGGGAAATACTTTATAAATATGTTTGTGATTTATTAGAGAAAAGGAGCATTAATCAGGTTTACTGATTTTAAAGCCGTATGTTTTTCTTCACTGAAGACAAGAAGCTGCGTCCTTATGTAAGTCAGGATTTCCTCTGATATTCTTGAAAAAAAAAATCAAAGAATGCAAATATAAGTAATAAACAACGATTATTCAGTGAACATGGCATTATGAATAGCAATAGCTCTGCTGGCATATTTTCCAATATATGCCAGCAGAGCAATTGCTATTCATAATGCCATGTTCACTGAATAACGTTGTTTATTTCTTAAATAGTTCCATATATATAGACAATTTAAAGTAAAGAGATGTATATTTAATTAAATGTTGATGTGTCAGTAGCATGATTGTGAACCCCAACCCAGCATGCTACTTGTCGTTTCGGACGACACATAAAATGTTGTTGTAGGGTGAGCCCTGTTGTCTGGCGGCCCTAAAGTTGATGTTTATTGTTGAAATACATTTACCTGACCACTGTAACCAATATGTGCCGTGCAATAAAAAAAATAAACTTTAAATGTATTTTTAATTCTGCAGTGTTGCAAATACAAGCATAGGGCTTGCGTAATTCCATGTATATTGTGGGTGTCTGGGTAGGATATCCCATAAGACATGAATGAAATATATGGAGATAACGAACAGTACTGGGAAAAGCACTTTTACAGTGATGGTTTATTTTGATAATTAAATCTGTGTCCTGCACGGAGACACAAAATTGATAGTAAATAGGAAACATTTATAGTGGTCATAGGTATGGTGTTAGGGGTATTTACATGTGAAGGTAGGGAGTTGAGGGTATGGTGTTTGTCTTTTTCTTCAAGGACAACTCATTTGTGCTTTGAAATAACCCAATAACCCGCTATTTTCATTGAATTGATATTGAGCTAAATATTTATATCGTTAAAGCTGACATGAACTCTTAATCAAAGTACTGAGAGTACTGGGAAGCGCTATGCATGGTTTGAATTTGAAATTCATCAGAATTTAAATTCCTTATCGCATTGGAATAAGTACATGTAATATTTTCACGGTGCAGCTTTAAAGGGGGGGGGGGGGTTTAAGTTGTTTAATTGAAATAAACCCAGCTCTTGATTGACTTGACTGTTACATTAAATAACATCGAATGTAAGTTGTATTACAAAACGTTTTTAAATATGCAAAAAAAAAAGTTAACAAAGAGAATCTAATTCACTATCTCTGTGCAATTTTTTTAACGCAAGTTAGTTACTTTTATAACCTTTCTTTGTTTGTCACACCATAGGTTGGCTGCAATAATGTAGCCCTCTCCAATTTTTTTTTGGGGGGGGGGGGGGGGAGGGCTACAACTCCTTAGAATCTCCGTAATGGTGCAAATGCGGCTGTGAATCACTCCCGCACGGATTTTGGCTCAAATCATCAGTAAACGGCTATTTTAATAACATCTCTTACCTGGACTCCAAAAAAGTAATTATGCAAGACATAAATCCATCCAAAAATATTCACAACGACCCATATATCGGTTATTTTTCGTGTATGTCAACATCACAACTTGAATTTATCCGCCATGTTTACTGACCTTGATAGATTTTATTTTGGGACAGCCAATGAGAATTTAGAATCTACAGGAGCGGATCTAATAGGAATTCCCTTATTTTAAGCATACATATCGCTATTTGCGTAAAAATAACACTTGAAATGGTTTTATTTATCGATATTTTTGTGATACATTTCAGGACAGTCGTTTATAAACATCGACATTTGCTTTTTTTAGGTTGTTCCTAGTTGTTCTAAATTTCAAGCGAAAGTCTCAGGACGTCACGCGTGAACTGTCATGGCTGCTGCTGGTAAACATGCAGATATATTTTACATGGTTTTCGAGTTTAGCGGGCTATGTTGTTGACAGTGAATAAAAATTCCGTCTTATAAGAAGTAAGTTGAATGTAAAAATAATTTATTTTGCCTTCAATCGCCCGTATTTAAAAAAAATATATTTGCACCATTACGGAGATGCAATGGAATTGTAGCCCTCTCCAGAAAACATCAGATAAAAAAAATCGGAGAGGGCTACATTATTGCAGCTAACCATAGGGCAGTAACACAGTTACCCGTCCGGACAACAAGATTACTTGTGTTGCATTGTGGGTCCAGGTTTCTGCGATAAAATTAAATTTATATAAATGTTACAGTACGATTTTTTTCTTCTGACTCATCTCATTCAGATTATGTATATAGCTCTACATTAGCTGGAAAGCTGGAGTTTTTTTTTGGGGGGGGGGGGAGGGGGCAAATTTTGAATACCTAAGATGTTGCTGAAAACCTTCTAGTGGAATTTTGAACAATAAATCATTCTACTCTCAAAAATATTAATCGTACTTACTAAAATTCAAAATTGACGGTCGGCGACCGTGTCTGCCTTTGTTATTATCGGCCGCATAGGTGATCGATCTATTGGCTGTTGTATTTGAAAGTGCACAGGGAGAAATGAGATATTATTTTTTGTTTGTTCCATTTAAAACATCCTTTAATGATAAAATATAATTAGGATTATGAATAAAAGATTTTTAAAATGCCTTAAAATTTTGTTTGAGCTGTTTTTATTTAGTCATAGATATTTATAAAGTTATAATTTTTATATAAACGGTTTAAAAAAAAATCCTAGCATGGCAACTTGTAATATATACACGCAATCAATAAAAGTTACTGCGTATACAATTAATGAATAGAAATTGAACTTTTAAATTTTGCATTGAATATGCTACAGTTGAATAACACATCAATACTTTTTTTCAATATTTCTCATTAATTGTGATACCAATCCCTGTTCGTGCAGTATCTTGATATCAGCATATTACAAAAATCCCCGAAGACTTTACTTCTTTTTTTTCATTACATTGCTATAATATCAATTTTGGGTATAAGGATATTGCATTAAATTTTGTCTTTTTGGATAAAAAAACCCCATTCTTATCCTTCATCTCTGACTCTCACGCACATGAATTATAATTTATTTTTACCGAAAATTAAAAACGTTTGACCATTATGTTTCTCTTTTAATATTTAAAACTGATTTGTCAATATTTCTTTTTAAAATAAATATGTTTAATTAATAACTAGTATACTCTTCTACTTAGAAATAAAAATATATCATATTAGAATTCGTTCGTATTTTCCTTTGACTCATTTTGGCGTAATCTTTGTTGAGATTCTGCTGGGCTAGATATTTGGACTGACACCCGCAGAATCTCTGGACAGCCATTAATATTTCATGTCTGGAAATCAAGTCCCAACTTCGGCCGACTATAGCAAGAATAATTCACCTAAGCCATACAGCTGCTCGCTTCAGTTAAGTCATTTGGTTGTTTATTTGACTCTCTATCACTTTTATTTCTACATTGCTTACCTTTTAGGCATGTAAATCCCAACATAAAAATATTCACTGAAATTTCAGTTTTAAATATGGCTCCTGTAACGAAATTGTTTACCTCCTCAAATAAAAGAGTTTGTATAGTCTGCTTTTACCCTTGGTGAATCTGAACCAAATGTCTTCTGTGGCTATTGAACATCAATTAGGGTAAAAACAGACTATACGAACTCTTTCTTGATTTCCAGACATGAAATATTAATGGCTGTCCAGAGATTCTGCGGGCGTCAGTCCAAATATCTAGCCCAGCAGAATCTCAACAGAGATTAATTTTGGCGGAATTACTTTAAAATGCTTCAGTTTTTTTTCTTCACTATGTAAAACATGCTGACAAGAATGAAATAGCCACAACACCCAAGCGTTCAGTCTAAAGGAATTTTCTGCATCAAAATATTTTAATACAGATAAAGACTATGTAGAAAACTTAGTTAAACATTTATTTTAATGGAATCATACATGTACTACTAATAGATTTGATCCAATTTGATTTTTAGAAACTCACTGAAACTTTTCAATACACGTGCACATTAAATGTTTTTTTCGGTAATTTTATAAACTTTTTCGAATTACACCGCAGAAATAAGATTTGTGACATAATTGGTGTTTGCCAGTACTTATTGATATGCACCATATTGTTCAGAGATAAGATCCGAAAATTAATATCAACTGTACTAATTAAACCGAATACTGAATGGGTTGGCGTTACGCCATTGGCTGAAATCAGGTATTTAATTGTTTTCATTTTCAAGTAAAATTAATGACCTTTGAAATAAATGATGGGATGAGGGAATATTAGAGAAACTATAGATATACCAGGGAAGATTTTGGGAGTGGGGGTTGATTTTTTATGCCGCGTGTTATTTACTGCGAATCTCTATAAGTTGAAAATAACTGCAATTTTGACCTATAAACGCCACGGGACCATATATTTTTTTCAGTATTTTTTGTTAGGGCTTAGAACAAAGTTTGAAATGATGCTAAAGATTTTTCTGAAATTGTCATAGTAAAGTACTGAGAGGGCCTAAGATTTGTATGGAGTTCTATGGGAAAATAATTAGTGGTCTTTTCCCATTTCTTCGATTCCGCCATATTTAATCGAAGATTTTTGGCCACCTGTACCTGCTATATATAACCTTGTAGAATTGTTTCACTTGAGTGATTTTCTAGCCTGACTGTCGACATGTACACATCTCCGATAGCAAAGTTGTCATAAATCCATAAACTTACCCAAAACATGTTTTAAAAGTTAAAACCCAACAAAAACTATAACAAAACTGAGAAGTAAATAATTTTTGAATGCATTTGCTGCAATTTAGAAAAAAAATAACACGGAAAACAGGAAAAACCGTTTGGATATGCACGCATGCAGGTCGAGAATATGCATCGAACGCAGTGATGAAGATATTTACCTGAATACTGCTATCGTTACAGGGATGTGCACATGTCTAAAGAAATATCCTATTTTACTTTTATTGAAATATGCATCTAAGAAGTCATGTAATCCATTGCTAACTGAACAGAAAATAATTTTCACCACATAGCACTGAACATTTTCGGAATCTCATACACCTGACACCGTACTACGGACTGCGGACTTTCGAACAAAAGACGGCTCTCAGGGAAATACGTTTTCGGTCTTTCTTAAAGCCGCTTAATCTGAAACAGGCGCATATTATCTTATACTGTAAAATACGTCATTACATAGAAAATGTATAAAAAATTGATTTAATAGTTTATTACAACAATCCTCACAAAGAAAACAGATCAAAAACCTTATACTGACAAACAGAACTCCCTGACGGGAAGTTAAGATCTTAATTTTTCTAAGGTGGTTTCACACGGTATCAACATAGGATTATTTTTTGTGTGACCTAACAATTTTTTTAACTTTTGAATTTTGATACCTTTTAAAAGAAAAAGACCCTGGGGATATAATTTAACAAAAGTTGACACAATTTAGGGACAATTATTTTTGAAGAAGAAAAACGAATATATTTTTTCTCGATTAGAATCGGACTAAGCGGCTCTAACTTTAGTGTACCTATTTTCACTATTCTGGGATTTTTTCCATGCATGTGACACAATTTCAACATGGAAACAGATAAAAGAATCAACATAATTA